GAAGTCAATACTGCAAACTGACTGCTCTGCAAATGGATTTTCCATCACCACAGGTGTTGTCCCAACACATGGGCGGGCACCAGCATCCAGAAAGCAACACAGCCAGGGTAATTTGCTGGCTGTACTCTGTATTCAGAGGAGGTGCCTTGCCTGGTTTGCAGCAGTGAAGGGCAGCTGAGTTATTACTTAGGTCAGATGCCTGTTGCCCCCAAATACCTCAGGGGGTTTTGAGCAAGCCACACAAAGGCAGTATTGGAATTGTCACAAGTTCATGCTTGGTTTGTAAGGCAATCCTAAGCAGATTTATTGACCCCCTTTTCTCCTCCGTGGGGCACAAAAGGAAGCAAAACAAAACTATCCAGCTCAGAATACTGCCAGTACCTGACAGAAGATGCTTCTGGCAGGAACCTCTGAAAGAGGAGTTGAGTATGAGGCCTGCAGAGGTTACTAGCTGGAAAAGAATCAGCATGCTCCATTTAGGAGCATGAGTCATTGCAAAACACTGCTATTGAAAGCAGCCCTGCCCTTCTCCAGCAAGGAAGGGCCCTTTCTCAGCTGCTCCAAAGCCATCCTGGTCTCACCCGCACGCTGTGCAGGGGGCACAGGATTCAACTCAAAGCACAGGGCACTTCAGTTTACTGGAGCACTAACTCTCAAGGGAGTTCCCAGTTTCCTTCTCTGATGCAAAGGTAGGGCAAGTAACAGAGGAGGGGATAGGGCTTTGCAATCTAAAGCACAGGGCCAAGTACTAACCCACAAAATAAAATTTCTGCTTGCTCACATCAGACAACAGCTGGAAGAAGACCAAGCAGAGTAGTTCCCACAGCCTCATTCCTCTCCCACACTGGCCAGTCACAATAGCCTCACTTCCCAGCACTGAGGGCTAGAACATCATCCCATTTCCTATGGAAATTAATTCAAATAAGTTTTGAAGGACTTAAGCTCCCCAACCAAGACCACTCAAGGTCATAAAAATTAGAACTCACAGAAAGTTCGCACCTAACCTGGGCCCCAGCCAGAAAAGCAGCTCTTACAGGAGGTCACAAGCTTTTTCTTTAAACAGTGTTATGTTACAACAGGCAACAGTGCAGTTTTCACAGAAGATGTGACAGTATGAGTATGTCAAGTAGCATGGAAATGAGGTGGTGAAATCAGGCTCCTTGCAAACAACTAGAGATCTTTTGCCTCTTAGCACTAACCAATAACTTTAGTCTACTACCTTCATGACAAGGCTGCTTGGGAAGCCCTCCTGAAGCAGTTATTCTTCCTAGTTAGACATCAAGGTAAAGTATTTGCTAATGCCTCCTAACCAGAAACTTGTTGAAGTGACAGCTTTTTAGAGCATGCCCAAAGTAGTCTTCACCCAAGACCTAGGTCAGGGAGTGTGCTGAAGTCAAGCATTTGAACAAACAGCAGGGAAAGGTAGAAGTGCATGAATACAACTGGAGAATTAATTGAAATATTAAGCATGCTGGCAGGGGCAGATGAGGTGACATCTAGCAAGAAGCAAACAAAGAGCAAAAGGCCCTGCGATTGCATTTAAAATTCAAATCAGCCTACAACTGAGCTATTTCGTGTGGCCACAGCATAAGCAGGGAAAAATAGTAGGAGGAAAGGGTAAGATATAATCATATAGGTTATAATTATCAGAATCAAGAAACATCACATCATTCCTAAGGGCCACTGAGAGGCAGAAGAGACATCTCAAAGCATTCCTACCCTGCTGGGGTGCTTGGCCAGGGTTGTCACATTACTCTGTACAGAAATTTAAGGAAACTTGTATAATTCAAGGAGTAAGTAGTCAGACAAACAGGTTTGGATAAGATTGAGAACAGTCTGGACACTCCCCCAGAGCTCAGTTGAGTTCCACTTTAAGCCACCACAGAAAGCCAGTCTGTTTCTTCTGCATCCTTCTGTTTCCACCTTCATCATTCTATTGCCTCTGCAGCATGGATAAGACCAAAAGAGGAAGAGCTCAGAAGAAAGGCACAAACCATTCCTAGCCACAACTAGTTTATTGAGGAAAGAGGGCAAAACTCCTACATGGAAGCAATCTCAATGGTTCCCTAAACCTTCTGAGGTTAACTGTAAGGGAAAACACACGTGGACACTTCCACTCAGCCTAGCCTTCCCAAGCAGATCTTTAGAAGCTGCTATGAAGAGGATGGTTTAGCCCGTTGCAGGCCATAGGAACTCTCAGTACTACAGAAGAGCCACAAAGCCATACAGGTGCTAGGCTGCCCTTCACAAGGACCAGCACAGGGAATACAAGGGACATCCCAGCTGCAGGCACAGCTTGAGTTTTCACCTGCTAGCAACTGGAGAGAGGCCCAAGGGTAGGGTAATTAGGGAGCAGCATAATACAGTAGCTCCTTCAAGGTTACAAGCTGGATATACAACAACCAGGAGAGAAAGAAAAGGCTATTTCCACTCTGTTCTCTTGGCCTTGTCTCAGAAAGTCTCAGGAGTGCAAGTACTTTGAAAGTCTCTCCTAAAAGCAACCATCTTATTCGGGCACAAAAATCTGCCCCTTCAGGGCAACAGGAAAGCACCCTTTGGAGTAGGGAGAGAACTGGGCACCAGGCTCCCAGGGTAAGAGCAGCCATTAGTGTTTGTAGGAAATTGATTTAAGCAATGTAAGAATACACCCCAGTGATGCATAAGTAGACAAATAATGATTTGCTAGGCTAAGCACTATACTATTGCAGCATGTCAAATCAATAAATAGAATATGGGAATGTGCAGCTGTTTCTTAAAAGTACTTTTGACCAAGGAAGTATAAACCACAAGGTTCAGACACTAAGGTAGCAAGGTACAGCTTTGCTATTGAAGCAGAAAACTTGCAAATTTACTACTGAATAGTAGGACTACTTCTGATACTTATAGTTAGTGCCCCACTTCCCTCCCTACAAGTTCAGCTATGATTATCTTAGGCAAACTGAGACTGCTTGTCCTTGAGCTCTTTGCCAGAGAGGAATTGCTTGGCAGTAATCAGAGAGCATACAGGGGAGAGATGACCCCTGCAATTTATCTCACATCAAATCTCAACAATAGCTTGGCCTGGCAGCCATCATTGGCTTATTATTTCATCTTCAATGAGAACTAGCAGCTACACATGAGAAGCAGTTTCAGCTGTTATCTCATAGTCTTTGAAGTGCTGCACTCAGTGAAGCTGGACGTGGAGCTTCACCACATCAGGTGATCACATTGTATCAGGGCAGTGACTGAACGCAAGACTAAAGGTGGTCATGAACCTGCCACAGTGCAGTGCTAAGCTATTACACAGTAATGTGGATTAGAAGTGTAGCTGGAATAGTAGCTATTTCTGCTTAAGAGAAGAAAGAGGAAGACTTTCCCCTCTAAATCCGTACTTATTTCCTTCTCCCCAGTCCCCATTTTTGACACCTAAGACAACACTATGAGCTTACCTTTTCCAGCACTAAATCTGGAGAAATCAGACACATTGGTAACAGATTCCACTTCTTTCCTTAAGGAAGGAAGCTAGCCATATAGGAGAGAAACAAGTATGATTCTTATGTCAGTTTCCTCACTCCCAAAATGAGAAGCAGGCATTTACCCTCCTCAGCTACTCTGAGGTCTGGGTGGGGGGGGGAAGAACACCCACACACTGTTTGGAAGAGGGCTAAGCTTGGCAGCTGAAGAGCTCTTGGCTCAGCTGAAACACCTCCTGGCCAGGCGATACTTGATGCTAGTCCTATTGGCATAGCTATCTGTAATTATGCTCTGACTTCCCACCCCAGTGACTCCACAACTTTCCCAAGCAGCCACTCCAACAGTGCACTATCCCACCACAGACCTTGAAGTCCTCACCAGATATAGTTAATTGTCTGCTGCTAAGAGGAGAATTAGACATAAGAGGCCAAATGACAAGGGTTGTTCAGATTCTGAAAGCTCTCACAGCCTTTCCAGGCATTGGAAAGCACCAGGAGGACACATGCCTGTCTTCAGGCCTAGAAACAGGAAGGAATTATAGCTCAGTCCCTCCCAGGCTAGTACCAAAGTGCACCAGCTGTAGTCCTTATCATTCCACTGCTGGTTGACCAGTTCTTGCATTCCTGACTGCCATTATTGCAACATCAAGATATTACCCAAAAGACTTAAAGCCTGAATATTTAGATAGTCACCAACTGACGGAGTTTTGCACATCCCCATTACTGAAGGCAGCCTCTGAAAACTGCTGGGACAGGCACAAACACTGCTACGGTTTTCCATGATAACTCTTGCTCTGCTACCCAAGACCCAGGATGAGCATGCTCAGAGAACACCAAGTCTCCGTAGCAGAGCTAGGCAGAACCGTAGGCTTGCTCTTAGGATACAAGCCTGGCCTCTGTTTGGATTGCCCAGAAAGAAGGACTAGAAGGTGAGTACCTACTCCCTTAGCTCCAGGCCTGTGGTAATTGCAACTCTGAAGTACCTTGGAGTTTAAAGACCATTGCTTAGAGGCTTCTGAAACTATTTTCTGCACAAGAAGTGATGCAGGTAGAAAAGTACAGTTCACATCTGTTGAGCAATACCTGTTCTTGCAGCACTGCTCCAAGATAGAGAAGGTAAGCTTTTTCATATGCAGTAGTTTTATTTTAAACAGTTATAACTAGTACAAGCAGCTTCTGGGAAGAGACTTTAGAAACTGGACACTAGCTTTAGACCAACAGCAGTCACTGTGCTGAACATATACAATGTCTGGACACATTGAAGGACATGTAATGAACAGCTTGCTGGAGAGGTAGAAGCATTGGATAGATGCACCAGAAGTAAAACAGCTGAAGCTATCAGCCACCACTCCTGAATGCATCTACAGCTCTGCAACCTTACAGCTCCCTCAGGAGTACTTAGGTATTGGTGAATTAAGTAAAAAATCTTGACAGTCACCCCAGGGATGGCATGTCACCTTCAGTGGTATGGAGTGTGTGTAAAGTTACCCAAGAAAAGGCTCCCACCAGAGCTGAGCCAGGCAGATTGTGTTCAGAGCCTTTCCCCCTTTACATGAGAGTGATGGAGGCCTCACAATTCCCTGCTCCTACCATCTTTGTTCCCTTCTCCTGTGAGGCTTCTTTCTCATCCCTTGGGGAGAAGGGTCCTACCAGCCAGGAGAGAGGCATGTTGTTCCTCAGGTAGTTCAGCAGCTCCTCCATGTACTCCTGGATCACAGCCAGCTTCCTCTGGCTCTGGATCAAGAGGCTGCTGGACAAGTCCTGTAAGGAGCTTGCTGCTGAGAAAGAGGCATGAAGTTCCTCTAGGGTACCAAGAGATTGTTTCACCTTATCCTGAAGGCTTGAAGGCAGGCCTTGGATTGCAGATATTATTTTACAGCAAGTGATCTGCAGCTGATGTGTAATACTGCATGCCATGAGCAGTACCAGAGACTCCATCTCCTGGAATAAGGCAGAAAGGAGGAAGTCAGAGGAGCCAGTTACTTCAAGAAGTCAAGCAGGGGGATGCAGGGGCAGGACAAGAAAAAGAGAAAAAAGCTCTTCGCTTCCCTCCCCATGGAGGTACCTCTGGCTTTGCTGAGCTTGCATCTCTGCTTTCTTTGGAATGCTTCCTACTCCAGTCCAGCCACATCTGGCATAGTTTCTCCTGCCCTTCCTGAAGCTTTTGATTAAGTCCTTGCTTAAACACTTCAATCTGTGGAAGACAAGATCAGAGTCTCAAGACAAAAGCCTGCTGTCATCACTATGACAGTGACAGCTGTGTTGAAGTTGAGACTAAGCCAAGCATATAGCCCTGTTCTGCCCTCTGACAGGGAAGCAGGGCTCTACCTACCAGTTCAATGATGCAGTGAAGCTGTGTGAGTGCCTCCCGCATGCCCTGCCAGGCCTGCTTCATTTTATCTGTTGATCGCAGGTACGCAAACTGGCGGAGTTCATCCGAGAGAGACCCCAGCCGCACAAAGTATCTCCGGTTCTCCTGCTACTGCTCCACAGACATTATGTCTGTGCCCTCCCCAGATGCTGCCAGTTTGGCTGAGGAGCAAGACAATGCCTTTAAGTGCCTGACCACAGGTGCTTACATGAAAACTAAACAAGCATCAAGAGACCTTGGACAATAAGCCAGATAAGAACTAGTAGCCTCCAACATGGCATTTCCTAACCTTGTTTCAAAGGTGTAGAAACAAGGTAGGCATCCCCATTCTGGTGATTCCCATTACAAACACAGGCACATATGCCATTTCTGACCTAACTCCTCATTTCCAATAGGGAGACTGTTGTCATCTCCTGTTTCCTCCAGGACTGCTCCTGCTCTGCTCACAGCCAGCTGGCACACTCTGGAATCTTTAACCATCCCCACACTGCTGGTCACTGCGGATCTGGCAACCTCCATGCCACTCTGAAGAGCCTCCTTGGTTGCATCTATCACCTCTGTCACCTTGCTGCTCACAGCATCCTTTGCATCAGCCACTTTGGATGACATTAGCTCTTTTGTGTCAGAGAGAACCTATGGAAATAGGTTAGTGTCAGCTAAGAACTGCAGTGCTCTGTGACCCAGTCCCTGTTGCACCAAGATGTCTTCAGACAGCATCTGCCATTTGCCTGCTTACTCTAGGAGCACTTGGTCTCTACAGTCAAAAGTTTGAGTCTCAGAAGAACTTGAAGTATTCCTATCCTTGTAAGGAAAGGAAAGGCCAACCCCACCTCCCTCTTCCAGCCAAGGAGGGCACAGCCTTTGGTTCTTACCTGGTCCATTGACTTTTGGAGGAGAGGGAGCTTCTCCCCTTGTTTATCCAAGTCCGTGGAGGCATATTCGTTTGCCACAGCAACTGCAGTAGAAAGGAGGTGTCAAAACTCAGGTTTTCTACTATTTCATCTTTCAAGTCCTTGCCAGGAGCCTGGGTAAAAATGCCCACCCAGGCAGCTGTGTTCAGATATAAGCTGGATTTGCCGAGCAGCTTGTCTTGGTCTCCATTGCTGCTTGCTCCGGAGCCAAGTCTGTTCCCTTACAGGAACAGTGATCCTACTTGCACTAGCAAGGACATAGCCACATACTTTGTAGTCCCACCTGCAGCTTGTTTTGCTCTTGACCAGACAGGTGCCTAGCTCTCATTTCCACCCTAGCCTCTGTGTCCCAGGGATCTAGGATCACATAGTAAACAGGAGGGTGCCCACTCCAGACTTAGAGTTAACCCAGGCCTGTCACAGACCACCTTGTCTGACTCTTGCTGTTAGGATCAGCCTCTCTCCCTCCATGAGGTTTAAGACTTCCTCCCACATACTGAGGCTCTTTAAGGGCCACAGGAAACAGGACCATTAGTAGTGACAGCCCTCCAAGTAGAGGTTTTTCTTTCAGCCTCCATGGGCCTCCAAGAATGGAACTTGGAGCAGCTGTCACCTAGTGCTTTGGACCTGGCAAGATCATTTTTAGGGTAGCCAACTTCAGAATCAGACGCTGATCCTCCAGGGACTCCCTCACACTACTTTGACTAGGACTCAAACCTTTGAGTTACTCCTATGTCTGGAGCTCTCTTTAGCAAGGCAATGGAGAGGTGCCTTTGCACACTCGCAGGCTCCTTTCAGAGTTGGAAGGAGAGTTAGGAGTCCCTCTGGGAAGAGGGTTTAGCTGTCATGAGCAGGTGCAAACCTCCCCTTCTGCAGGCTATTACCTTGAGGCTCTAGTGTAGTCAGGACTGGCTGCACACAGCTGGCTGCTGCTTCAGTTACACTCTTCACTCTTTGCTCTGCCACCTCACACACAGATCTGATGTAGGGGTGGCTCTCCTTGGTAGAGACATAAGCTGTAGAAACCACATCACAGGCAGAGCTGACCAAGGTCAGGTTAGCCACCAGATTTACTGCATCCTAGAAGGATATAAAAACAAGCCATGAAGCTTCCAAGCCTGACAGAGCTTTCTACATAGTAGAAAAAAAAAAAACACCAAAGCTTCCCCTTTCTACCTGTTCAAGTAACCTGGTATGGTTGAAGGGCGAACTATAGTTTTAGTCACTGCAAAACCTGCTACTCACTAAGGAAACAAGCTGTGGAACACTACTGATATTTATGGTTGGTCCATACCAGAAAGGTTTTCTTTAAGTGCAGAGCCATCCAACAGTCAGATGAGATTGTAGACAGCTTCAGTACTGCTAGAACCTTATCCAGCTCCAGTTCATTTGACATAGCTGTCTAACAATCCCAGAAAAAGCTTTATCAGAACAGAATCACATTGGTGTTGAATTAGCAGACTCCACACTAGTTAACAAGACACACTGCAGTCCATGAAGGCAGGGCAAGTGTGTCAGGTTTCAGGGCCACTGAGACAGGAGAGCCATTCCATGAAAGCATTGTCCAGGCTCTTGACTACAGACAGAAGCACCACTTCTAGCCAAGTGGGCTATTTTACTTAATCTAAGAGGATACTTACAGGATCTTCAGGCCTGCTCTTCTGGCTGTGCCACCACCCATTTCCAGAGAAGCTGCAGGGCACAGGCTGAACAGAGGAGATACTAAACCTGCCCAAAGGGTGGAGTTTCTCCCTAGCCTCAGTAGCAGCCACTTCCTTACACCTGCACCCAGAAGCTGCTGCTCCAGTTAGAGCTCACACAGAGTGCCTACCTGCTGCTCCTCTTCCTTCATCTCTGGGGAACTCTTAACAACTTTCTCCTTATCAAGCATAGCAGAGTCCATTGCAGCTGAAACAGTGTCACAAGCACCACAGTTTAGGAAGAGAAAGACTGAGCAGCTGGGGAATAGTCCCCTCCGATCTTGTCAGGGGAAGAAGTTCCCTGAATACCTATTCAGGAAAGACCTCAGGGTTGTACTCTTTCCCTTATTGAAGGGACTGCCTCTGCAGTGATCTATGCCAGTGGCAGAGCCACCTCTTATTTAAGCTCCACATGATTTCTGATATCAGAGGAATGGGGAAAAACAGTCTTTCCTTGCACCTGGAGAGCTCCTGTTAGGGAGGCCACAAGGCTTACTATCTGTCAAATTTAAAAGCAGTATCTGGGACCCTACTGCCTTTTCCCTCCCCACTAAGGGGGGGAAGAACTTGCTTTGAAAGAGGTGCTAAAACCAAGATTGAAATAAGCACCTCCAAAGTTATTCCAGTCCTGTGAGCACAACCCAAGCTGAACTAGCTTTTCACTCAAGGGCAGCACAAGGCTAGACCTAGCCCTTCAGCCACAGTCACAAGATACCTTATGTTAATTAAGACTGCTTTTGCTCTATGATTAAATTAGGTAAGAATCACTTAAACATGAGTCAGGAATTCACAAAACAATTACAACTTCAATACCTAAAAGCATTCACTTGCATAGAGAACAGTACCTTTTTTTTTTTTTCCCCCCTCCTTCTTGGAGATGAGCAGACAATCAGCAAGGAAAAACCAGACACCACACCATACCTACTTCTGCACTCTCCGCCTTTATATACTGGATGGGGAAGGTGGGATGCAGATGGACACAAAGTGATTGACAGCTCAGGGAAGCAATAGCCAGTCTTTGTCCTAGCCTGTGAGAGGTGAGATGGGATGGCGATAGGGACTGCTGTGGCTCGTTAATTCCTCTGATCTTTCAGCTAATTCCTCTGGTTGCTAATTGAGAGCAATCAGGCAGGCGCACCTTGCCTACTGCAGAGGAGCCCACTTCAAAGGCCACTGCTTCCGCAAAAGGAGAGTGGTGGTGTTGGCATGGCCTACACACCCTCTCTGTGATCTTGCTTCAGATCATAGGTATAGTGTGGAAATGGCAAATAGTTGCATTTGTTTCCCTTTCTGCTGGGAGACAATAACCAGAAAAGAAGTATAGTGAGAAGACAAATCCAGAGAAGGACTTCCTACCTAAGGTGGAATTTCGTTAGGTCTTACCTGACTGTGCCCAAAGTTTGATACTGGAAGTAGTTACTCAGCTACCTGCTGATCTTAGAAGCACTGAAACTCAAGTTCCTCATCTTAAAGCTCCTGGATTTCCCAGTCCCTCTGCACCTTCCCAGAATGCCTGCAGAGTGAGCAACCCACACTTAAGACTATTAGTAGCCAAATTAGACCCCCTCTGCTGGGGTTCACTTACAATGACTTTAAAATACAGAAGCCTTGGAAATGGCTCTTGTTTAATTTGCAGAGGACCAATTATACAGAACAAGATATTCCAGGAGCAACGCATTTCCCAGGGATCTCTGTCTTGCGGCTGCTTATCTCTGGCTTCTCTGATGATTAAGGAAGAGTGAGTCATATTGCAGACTTCTCTTCAGAGAAAGCACTGCCATGGCCCGCCTCTTCTTCTGGCCTACCTCTTTACCTGATTTTATTAGGATCTTGAGGACCCCTCCATTCTGTCAAACTTGCAATTACCTGAGCAGTTCAAAAGTTATATGGGAGAAGGGAAAACAGTCACACGAATGCACAAAGATCATGATTCACACACCAGGTTAAAAAGAAATATGGGTACAGTGAGGGGGCACAGTGACTGATAAAGGACAAATCACTGACTGTCAACAGACAGCAATAGAAAGGACTGTTACAGAAGAGCAACACCATCATTCTTCAGGGAAAACAGCACAGGGACCGGTTTTGATGCCCCCTGTGATTTGGTGAGAACTTACAAAAAGGAAAAAGAGAAACTGACTGTACTCTCCCAGAGAAGCCAGTCTGGGAGGGCAGCACTGTCTGGATGATAGATGATTCAGGCAGTTACGTGAAGTCCCACTAGGAAGCTTGGAATGGGAGAGAGATTTTTATTTCACATGTCTTCTTAGTATCCCGATCCCACAAAGACACTGCTTTACTTTTATACATGCGTTGTCCATCATTTCAAACAGCCTGTTCTTGAGGTGGAAGTTCAACACTGAAGCTTTGCAGAAACAGGGTACATGTGATTTTCCTTTGCTTACAGAAGAACATGTACAACATTTGTATGACATCCTGCATCCAAAACTCCAGCTCCTGGAATACGGTGTCATTTCCTGCCTTCATTGAAAAAGAAGGCAGCATCCAGAAATAACTAGTGAACTGCCTCCCCAGATAGCCTGCATCACCCAGCCAAACCTCGCAGTTTGGTATGACAACATATGGACTGCGGAAGCCTAGAGACTGTCATTTCACTGGGCTTGTGTCCGGTGCTAGGTTATATGTGTAGGCTCCATGCTCCTTTCAGAGCATACCTGGGAGTGAAGAGCCCCAGCAACCTCCTCCAGTCTTCACCCATGAGGGAACATGTTGTTTGCTCAGAAGAAAGTCCCCACAAGCACCCCAGCTTGGTGTTGGGGGCCCAGGAGTGGAACAAGGAATCAACCAGCTTTGCAGTGAAGATGCACTTTGTACAGGAGATGGGTCAAAGCTTACAGATGCTTCATGTAGGAGTAGCTTAAGACAAGATGATGCTGTATCACCTGAGCCATCCTCTTCCTCAGAGTGGCCTGCCAAAACCTGCACTTCTCAATGTGCAAAGTCTCCTTTCAGCCCATGGGACACCCCCAGGCTCACCCAGAACTTCCTCAGGCATGACCCCATGCATTTTTAGATCTTTCCTAGTCACCCAAAGCCTGTATGTGGACAGAAGTGGCTGTGTACAGCTACCAAGGGAAGATGTGGTCGCACTGTGTCCTGCTATTCTGACAAAAGCGATGCTGAATCTCTGAATCTCTGTATGGCGAGGAGGAGGCTGTGGTTGTCAAAACAGAGGTGACCGAAAGCAGGATGGCTGCACACCTCACCACGTTTTGCAAAGCAAGAGTCAAAAGCATCACAATGGCCAGGCCATAGAACAGAGGAAGGGCAAGTGCCAAACTGTCTTCACCCCACAGGTTCATGTAGGGGAGACACCCCAGGAGTGAGGCCAGAAATGTTAAATCACAAGTGGCTAGAATGCCTTTATGACATTGGTTGGATTAACTATTCACTAAATAAGCCTCTCTTTCGCTAAAGAGTCTGATTGTCTTTGTACTTATAAAAATACAAATGGACAAGCTAATTGTACTTCCTGTCAGCACAAACCAAGTACAGTGCCTGAATTCTGGGAACTCAGCATTTTTGCAGGCTCCAGATGCATGGAGCATCTGTGCACCTGAGAGTCTTGTGTGCCTACAGTTGGCACCTCCTCCTTGCTCTGGGGGACTTAACAGATTTGGGCTTTTGTGCTCTCTTCATATGTCCAGAGAGGAGAGATGCAGCCTAGTCAAAGCCCTAACAGTCCTGAGAAGCGCACAACACCTTCCTCTTGACTGCCATACCTTTGAAGAAGCAAACAAACAAACAAATGTCAATCTCTTCTCTTCCCATTTGTCTAGGGAACAGTCCCACCTGTAAATACTTTCTTCTCACCTAAGTAGGTGACATGTCAACCCTCAAAGTCAAACCACCCATTTGGCAGTATCCAAAACTGCCACCTAAAGGGAACAGTTCATATCCGCAGCCATGTTAGTAGCTGGGTTCGGAGCAGAGCAGGAGAAAAAGACAGCTCATTTCAGAGCAGCAGCTCCTCCACACAGAGAATAGCGACCTAACTGACAGCTGCCTCCCTCGGGTATCACAGGTAACCTGTGCTAAGTGGCTTTGCAGCACTCCAGGTAAAAGAGGCTCAGATAGCAGATAGGGCTTTATAGGTTTCTACCAGTGTTTAACACTACCATTACAAATCTGTCTAGTGCCTCCTGGCACTAGAAGCCAACTTTGATGATCTGACTGCTGTGAGAAAGGTCATAACGGCTGCGTTCACCAGCCGCAGCA